GCTGATGACAGAAAGCTGATGTGACTCATCTGGTAGGCAAGCGCACTGCCTTAAAAAATCGACTGTTCTTTAAACTGAGGCAGGACAGAAGCCTCAGCCAATCCTCAGTTAATTCATGCCAAATTCCTGAAGTTTTTATGAATGTGTATAAACCCCAAGTCCTGAAGTTTACAAAACTTCCTGACCTCCATTCAGGGAGTCAGATTTGGGTACTGGCCCCTGTCTCCTTGCATTGCCTCTTCGCAATAAATAATTTTCTCTCCTCTTAAGCACTCGGTGTGTAAACTATTTTGGCTTGATTGTGCACCAGGCAGGGACCCATGTTTGGTCCTACTTCACTCTTGAGGTGGCTCCAATTCATAGCGACCCTACATACAACAGGATGAAATACCTCCCCATCCTGCACCAGCCTCATAATTCTTGTTATACCTGAGCCCATCTTGGTAGCCACTGTATCAATCCATCTCCTTGAGCGTATTACCCTTTTTCACTGACCCTCCACTTTACCAAGCACCATATCCTTCTCCAGGGAATGGTCCCTTCTGACAACATGACCAAACTAGGTGAGATTAAGTCTGGCCATTCTCGCTTCCAAGTATTGTAAGATATTGCCAAATTGCTTTCAAAAGGTGTTGTTGTTGTTATGTGCCATCGAGTAAGACCTGACTCACAGCGACCCCTTCTTGGGTTTCCGAGGCAGTATCACTACGGAAGTAGAATGCCCCATCCTCCTTCTGATGAGTGGCTGCTGGGTTTGAACTGCCAGCCTTCTGGTTAGCAGTCAAGTGCCTTAGGCACTATGCTACCAGAGCTCCTTTTGGAAAGGTAGTAACAATATACAAGCTCTCCTACAGTGTGTAAGTTTCCCACTCTCCATTGCCTTGTCATAGGTATCAATCAGGGCTTTTAATTGTTGACTGTCTCATGGTATGAAGTGGTACTTTATTGTTTTGTTTTGCTTTGCTTTTATAAGGAAGAGGGGGAGTCACGGTTGGTGGAGAGGATCTCAACAACTGGAGCTGAAAGCTGTTGTTATAAAGGAATTCCTGGTGAGGTAAAGAAAAAATGGCTCATTAAAAGCTCACTCTACACAACAGCCATTCATTTCTCCTGAGCCCTTACATGTATTTCATGCATGTATTAAATGCACCGGGATCACAGCTCACTGGCCCATAGTATCCAGGCTTACTCTCCCATTTACTGAGACACTCCAAGTGAAGAACTGATTATTTCTATAACACATGAAATAAATCAGAAAAGTATTATTACTAGCATTTTCCTATTTTCAATGGAAATCATAGTATAGAATCTTTCTTAACAGACATTTAGAAGGACATGAGACATTCTCATGACAACTATTTGAAGAATATTGTGAAAATTGCATTGCTACAATGTTAAAAAAATATCAACTTTCTTATCTCAAGGTGCAATGATCATCTTTTTCTGAAAAAAAAATTAAAATATTTCTATTTTACTAGAATAAAGTAAACTTCTGATTTAAAACAATGAATATAAATCTTATTGAAAGTATATGACTTGATTTTACTCTAAATAAATAATATATTTTCAAATAAAAAGACAGATTTTCAGTAGAATTTTTATAGTTCCTTTCTATTATTCTTCAAAGAGCTTAAGTTTTGAAATATGTATATTTCAAAATATATTTTTTTTCTATATTTTCTTCCTGAAAATATCCTGCCCAAAAGAAACTACTTCTCTTCAACAAAGAACAGTGGATAGAAATAAAACTGATGTAGCTGTACTTTCTAGACGTCCAAAGAATTAGCCTTAGTGAAGCTAGCTATATGGCAGGAACAGCATTCTAATTCTGTCGTTGCCCTTGTGAAACAATGCAGGATTCTTTTTTGCTTTATTTGACTAATCCATACAAGATAAGTTATTTATAAATAACTGTAGTTCCACCTTATTTCACTGCAGTTTCCTTCTCTGTTGGTAAATGTAGGAATAACAGAAGTCATTAACTAACTATAAGAGATATAAATAAATTTAAAACACACACATACATAGATTTTTTTTCTCCAAAGAAGAGGATCTGAGGCATTTCTGGAACTGAGAGAAAACTGTTAGACTGAAAAAAATACTTCCTAGTCCAGAATGCACTTCCACTCTGCAGCCAGTTACCAGAGCCTGCTTGTCTAAAAACAGGCTAAATAAAGAAGCTGCAAAGCCTAAGTAAATGAAGGAGTCCCGGGAGTGCAGACATTCACAAACTTGGCTGCTAACGGAAAGGTTGGGGGTTCAATCCACCCAGGGGTACGCTGGAAGAAAGGCCTGGTGATCTACTTCTGAAAAATCAGCCGCTGAAAACCCTACAGAGCACAGGTCCACTGTGACACACATGGGGTCACCAGGAGTCAGTGTCGACTCAGTGGCCACTGGTGTAAGTAAATGGAAGGGGAACAGGAAAGAAAGGATGTATGCTGTGTGGAACGATTCCAGAGGTATAGCTGATGGGTTTTTCTAAATGAGCACTCGAGTCAGGAATGTCTGATATACCTCTAACAGGCAGTAATGGGCAAGAAAGCTGAGTGGTTAAGGGGAAGAGGTTTGGGAGTCAGGCAGACTTGGACCCAATTTTTATTCGTGATATGACCTTGGGCAAATGACTGAATTTGTTTGAGCCTCTGTTTACTCTTCTATAAAATGGTGATAGAATTGTACCTTATAGGGCAGTTTTAATTAAACATTAAATTAAATATGAGTGTATGTGAGTAAAGCACTTAGTGCCTAGCATATAGTAAGTACTCAATGATAAGCAGCTATTATTTTCAAGATAAATGAGCATGTTTCAGATATTATTTGCCATTTTAAACAACTACCAATAATAGCCCTATACAAAGCTGGCTGAAAACCATTAAATCTTTGTTCCATACAAATTTCTCATCAGGAAAGAACGGCCATAAAATTAAATTGCCAGATACCAGTAGGGCAAGAGCAAAAACAGTATAGAGTGCAAAACCTCCAACACAACACTGCCCTCTGAAAATAAATTTAATCCAAAGAAAAATGAAAGAGGCAAAGAATAAATAATCTCACTCCTTTGTTGTTGTTTTGTTATGTGCTCACTCCTTTAGCAACTACTAAATAGGCTGTAAACAGCCATAAACAAAATGTTTAATTAAAACTGCAGTCACAGAAGTGGGGAAGCAGGAAGCACTGAGCACCAGCTGATGATTTGGCAATGGATCCTGGTGATGTTTGCACAGCATGATTAATGTGATTGGTGTCACTGAATTGTAAATGTGGGAAATGGTGAATTAGCCATAGTTGTTGTATACATTTTAACCACAATTAAAAACAAAAAAATACAGTCGCAAAGCTTTAAGATGTACTAATTCAAGAAGGAAAATTAAGTAGGGGTTTCTTAAAGAGTTGCTCTAGTCGAAAACAGATGTAGGCAGAGGACAGGCAAATCTTTCAGAAGTATTTCAGAGTATTCCGGAAAGGAATATGCCAATCAATCCCCAGCACAATGCCTGGCAGGTGGTCAGTGGACTTGCTGAAAGAAGTTCTGCAGGTTTTGCAGAGAAAGCTACACTTGCTTTGGATACACTGATAAAAGCAAAGTACACATGCTTTGGATACACAGATAAAAGCAAAACACCAGTAAAAAATATTTTCATGGGTTTTGAGTTAGAAATCTTCACGTACGACTTGGAAATACGGCTCTGGATTCTAGGGCTCTATGTCCAAGGCTGGCTTTGACTTAGGAACTGGAAGATGCAGATGAGAAAAAGCCACAGGAAGCTAGATGGAAATTTCACAAAGGAAATGGAAGGTATCCGGCTCAGCATGAGTTCAGAGACCTCATGTTTTCAAAGAATCACCCAGCGTGAAATCACTTGCCCTTGCAAATACATTTTAGGCAATCTTCTTAAGTGGAGGAAATGCCTTCATACCAGTAAGTTCCTGTTAATGGGGATAATCAAAGTGGGACAAGTTGAATTTGTAGAGAAACTTTGTAAGTTTTTATTGCCCTACTTCCACTGTAACTGAACCTTGAAAACATGCTGAATGAAATAAATCAATCACAAAAGGACAAATGGTGTGTGAGCTCACTAATAGGAAGTACACTGATTCATCAATGTATAATGATCAGAGTTTAACAACAGGGTGCAAGGGACAGGAGGAAGGGGTAATGAGGAGAATAACTGTTTAGGAAGCACAGTGCTTTTGTTTATGGGGACAGATAATTGGGCAAAGGCCATTGGTGAGAGCTGCATACCATAATCAATATAACTGAGCTCACAGAATTGTACCCATAGGAATGTTGAATTGGCAAATGTGGTGTTATCTATCATCTTTGTTGTTATTGGTGTTAGGTGCCGCTCAGTCTACTCTCAATTCATAGTGACCCCACCTGACAGAGTAGAACTGCTCCCAGAGTTTTCCAGCTTGTAATCTCTACAGGAGCAGACCACAAGGCCTTTCTCCCACAGAGCTACCATTGAGTAGGTTCAAACTGCCAATCCTTCAGTTAGTAGCCAAGCACTTAATCATCATGGCACCAGGCTCCATATCTTAACCATTTTTAAAAAATTAATAATTAAAAAAAAACATAGTGAAAGAGGATGGCAAATTTCTGGTGAGAGTCTCTATTCACAGTAGGACGTGTATGTCTAGTTGAGACAGGAGTGCCCAATGAAATCCCCTACGGTGACACTGCAGCTGTACATGACACAACCACCTGTTCCTTCTCCAATATGCAGCCTGATGATCTATGAGCACAGCCTCCTCAGCTACAACCTGAACTAGAACTCAGAACTCAGCCCTAAGTGTTTACCTACCAAAGAATCATCAAATTTCTACACTGAAGGTTAGAGAAACCTCACAACATAACTAGTAATCGCTGCACAATTATCAGACTGACAAAAACAGCCTTTCACAAATATAAACTACATAAATTTTTCTTTTGGATGATATCCAGGTATCCCTAAAATGCAGTGCTGACGTTAAACACGGAGGAAACAAGCGAGTACCTTCAGTGACTGCAGAGAGTCTGAGTTAGTATCACAGTAGAGGATGATGTTGTTGGCCATGCTGAAGCTCTCTCTCACCCCAAGGTGGTAAAACAAGGAGGGCTGCCGGAAAGCGTCGCTCATCTCCACCACAGCGATATCTGCAAACAGAAAACAAAGGTCCCCAAAAGATGACACCTACATCAAGCCCAGCAAGCACATTTTGGTTTCAACAACTTAGTGTCAAAGAGGCAGGGAGGAAATGAAAGGGATTTTCCCTCTTCATTTATCACTGAATTTTGAATTTGCAGTTCTGCCTGGAAGTGGTTTGATGTATATGCCAGCAAGCTTGCATTTCTTAAACAAGAAAGGGATTTTATAGTTACTGGAAGCCAGGGAGAGTCTGCAATGGTCTTAAGCAGGGGCTAACGTTCTCTGCTGTTTCATCATTTTAATTCTTAAAAAAATGTAAAAAGCAAACTCATGGAAAATAGCAGTAAGTAATAGATAGAAAATGAGATTTTTAAAATGGTAAATTTATGCATTGGTCCAGAGCTGGGTTTTAGAGTTAATTAACAAATATCTAGCAAATCCCTAAGGAGCACTGGTAGTGTAATAGTTAAGCACTAAGCTACTAGCTAAACTCACCCAGAGGCTCCACAGGAGAAAAATCTGACCATCTCCTCCCATAAAGACTGCAGCCTAGAAAACCCTGTGGAGCAGTTCTAGTCTGTTCTAGGCAGCTCTAGTCAGATGGGGTTGCTAAGAGTTGAAACGGGCTTGATGGCCCCTAACAACAGTAACAGGACGTCCTGGAAAGCATAATTAAGAAAGAAAGAGAGCAAAAGCATAGAAAATTACGATTCAGAGAGGAATATAACCACAGATACTCATTCTTGGAAAGCTCAGAGCTGACCAGCACCAAGGTAATCTAAACCTGATATCAAAATTTGACAACAATGTCACAAAATGAAATTGAAATTATTCTCAAACTCCTTTATGGATCTGGACAAATATATGAAAGAAAAACTAACAAAAGCACCACACATTATACTATAAGAATACTAGATGATCATGAGTTTAAAGCTTAATTGGAAAATGTAAGAATGGATTGATTAAAAAAAAAAAAAAAACCTACTAGTATCTGTAGAGATCCCCGAAATACATTATATAACATTTAAGACCCATTTCTACTTTAAAATAACTACAAACTAAAAATATAGTATGAAGCATGATATATATTTCATAACAGCTGCCAATTTTGTGCTTATTCTTAGTCCCATGAAAATCAGAAACAAGGCAAGGCTGTCAACTATTCCCAATACATACTGGCTTCCTGAAAATCCCAGCCAATGTGATAAATTTTTTTAAAAGAAAGATGTATCATTTTATAAAATAAAATATGCAATTATCACTACTTTCAGATATTGTGATTGTCAACTAAAAAAGCCCAACAGAATAAACTGAGTAACTATTGGAAATACTAATAAAATTTAGAGTCAAGATGCAAAATTATTATGAAAACTAAGAGCTTCCTTTATCATTACAATAAGCATTCGGAAAATATAGTGGTAAAAAAGATCTCATTCACAATTACAATGAAAAGTTTAATAACCTTATAACAAATTGAGCAGAGGATACTAATTTGTTAAAAATACATGCACTATGTGACAAATGAAAGGTTAGTATCTTTCTAAATCTACTCTCACAGGGCAATTTAGAATAAACAGCCAACAATAAAAATTTTTAATAGAAAATTAGGCTATGGATATAAGTAGGCAAATTCACAGAAGTATAAACAAAATGGTAAATAAATATAACAATAATCTACATCTCACCACTAATCGGTGTACATTAAACCAACTATAAAGTACCAATTTTTTGCTTAACTAGTGGCCAAAGATTTAAAAATACCCAATGAAGAATCAAACAAATGCCAAAACCATGGGGTACCATCTTATTCCCATCTGGGTAGCTAAGATTTAAAAATAAATAATATTAGTGAGGATATGGGGAAATTGGAATCCTTATCCATCGCTGGTCGAATGCAAAATGGTACAGCTGTTGTGGAAAACAGTGTGGTGGTTCCTTAAAAAACTAAAAAGAAAACTACCATATGACCTAGTAACTCCACTAGCAGGTATATACTCTAAAGACTGGAAAGCAGAGACTCAGATAATTGTACACTGATGTTCATTCACTGCAGCACTATTCACAATAGCCAAAAAGTAGAAGCAACCTAAATGTCCATCAACAGAAGAATGAATAAACAAAATGTGGTACATACATACAATGGACTACTACTCAGGCAAGAAATGAAGTCTTGATCCATGCTACAATATGGATGCAGCTTAAAGACATTATAGTGAGTGAAATAAGTCAATCACAAAAGGGCAAATATTGTATGACTTCACTTATAGAAAAAGACAAGAACAAGCAAATGCATGAAGACCAAGGTTTATTAGTGATTAACAGGGGTGAGAGGGAGGTTGGAAAGGGAGGTTACTGCTTATATAGTACTAAGTTTCAGTATATGATGATGAAAAATTACATTGATTAAGAGTAGGGGTGCACAGACAATTACCATAATACCAATGCTATCAATAAATTATATACCTGGAAAAAACTGGATTGGCAAATGTTGTGTAATAGATACATTTACAAAAAAAAAACAGTAAGTACTTGCTGAGGCTGCTTATGCATAACCAAACACCTCATGGGATTTGGTTCCTTGATTTGGAGGTTTAGGGCATGGTTTTATGGGACATCCTAGTTGACTGGGCTAATGATGTGTTTGGTGGTTCTGTTCTACCTCCTACTTCATTGTGTAGGGTCTGGGGTCTTAAAAGCTTGCAAGTGCCATTCAAGCCACAACAACTGGTCTCTACTCATCAGAAGCAACAGAAGAAGGAGGAGATTCAGGAACAGGAGGGAAAAATGGAATGTGTGGCTAATGGCCTCCATGAACAACTGCCTCTTTTGCCATGAAACTTTAAGAACTAGATGGTGCCTGGCTACAATTAACTGAACATTTTGATCAAAATTTTATAGAAAAATCCTGACCCAAGGTGAGGGGAAATACAGAACAGAATTTCAAATGCTCACAGAATCCAGCCATGAAGGGTGGGTAAAGCGCTGAAACTACTGCCCTAGAGTAACCTTTAAACTTTAAACCAAAAATAAAGAATGTCTGTCTTGAGCTTTCTGCTCTTTTAAGATCTATCTACACAGGATCAAACGGACAGCAGTAGTTCAAAGATTAGGCAGGAGCCTCAGAAGGCAGTGAGTTTATGCTAATGGTGAGGAACGAGTCAGGAGAATGAAAATGGTTGCAAACTTGAAGAATGACGTCATGTCACTGAATTGTACATGGAGAAACTTGAATTGTGCTGTATTTTTGCTGTTTACATTCTCATCAACAACAAAATATTTTTAAATGATAAAATAAAACTGGGAATAAAAGAGTCAAAGAAATGCCCTCACATGCTGTGTGAAATAGAAGTATCCTAGGAGAAAACGCTAGTCCTTAAAATTATGCATACTCTTTGACCCAAGAATGCCATGTTTGGGAATTTACCCTGAGAAGAATCTGATACATATGAACAGATTTACCTGTATGTACACTAAAATATTGTTTTTGCCATTAAAAAAAATGAAAAATGCCTAAATACCCAGAGAGACAGGGATATGCCAAGTGATGACATATTATGTAGCCACTAAAAACTATATCTATAGATTAATTTCCAGCAATAGGAAATGAATTCAAGATACATAAAGTTTTAAAAGATTGAAATGTAAGACATACACTATATATGTGGAATAAAAAGTTTCTGAAAATTTGTAATGAAAACACAAACTGTGCTTATAGCCAAGTAGTGGGATTTGGGGTAGTATTTTCTTCTTTGTGCCTTCTATATTTTCCACAATTTCTCTTATGAGCATCGATTACTTTTATGATTTCAAAACTCACCGAAACATAAAAAGAGCAATATTCAAGACCTGAGTGACTGAATGTAAAACCAAATGCTACCATGAATCTATCAAGTAACAAGCATCTCAGGAAGCTGTTTGGTGTGGAACCTACCTCACTGGATGAACAATTAATTAGAAATTCTGCAAAGGAAAACAAATCAGAAGATATGGAGGCTAAAGATATGAATACATTTATGGAACTTATAAAAAGAATTGGTTAATGTTCAACTATTCCAGGAGGTAGCATATGATCAAGAGCCAAAGGTACTGAAGGAAGAAATCCAAGCTGCACTGAAGGAATCAGCAAAAAACAAGGCTCCAGGAACTGAAAGAACACCCATTGAGAAGTTTCAACAAATGGATGCAGCACGGGAGGCTTACTTGTTTATGCCAGGAAATGTGGGAGGCAACTACCTGGCCAACTGACTAGAAGATCGATATTTGGGCCCATTCCAAAGAAAGGTGATCCCACAGAATGTGGAAATTACCAAACAATAATATCATTAATATCACATGCAAGTAAAATTTTGCTGAAGATAATTCAAAAACGGTTGGAACAGTATATTGTCTGGGAACTTCCAGAAATGCAAGATGAATTCCAGAGAGGACATGGAATGAGGGATATCACTGCTGATCTCAGATGGATCTTAGATGAACACAATACCAGAAGATGTCTACCCATGTTTTCTTGACTGTGCAAAGGTATTTGACTGTGTGGATCATAAATTATGGATAACACTCCAAAGAATGGAAAGTCCAGAACACTTAATTGTGTTCATGAGGAACCTGTACATAGACCAGAAGGCTGTCATTCAAACAGAACAAGGGGATACTGCATCTTTTAAATTCAGGTAGGCTGTGTGTCAAGGCTGTATTCTTTCACGTGTATTCAATTTGTATGCTGAGCAAATAATCCCTGAAGCTGGACTATGTTAAGAAGACCACAGTAACGGGACTGAGGAAGACTCAATAACAACCTGTGATATGCAGATGACACAACCTTACTTGCCAAAAGCAAAAATGATGGGAAGCACATACTGATGAAGATCAAAAACTACAGTCTGCAGTATGGATTACACCTCATCAATAGGAAAACAAAAAAACCTCACAACTGGACCAATAAGTGACATTACGATAAATGGAGAAAAGCCTGAAGTTGTCCAGAATTTCATTTTACTTGGATCCACAA